GTCTCTTCGATTTTCCATCAGAAACAACATTCCAAGAAGACGGTACACCTTTGAAACAGCATTTTGCTCCAGACAGCGCCGGCCAACCAATACGATGAAGAAAGAGTATCTACGTTGGTGTTCCCGCGGGTAAGTTCTTCCGTTTTGACACACATGTTTCTAAACTTGCAATGAGATCATTTAGGGTTTATACAAAGATGTATGTGTGCATGATGGGCATGAATGAATTTATATGCAGGGGATTCGTTGGTAGAAGTCACACAACCACGACTCCTAATCCTAAATGGAAAAATCTGGCTATCCAAAAGGTTTGGAAGCAATCAGAGGATAAGCGGGACAGAGCAGAAGAATGGAGAAAGTTGCATGTAGAGGCTAAGAGGAGGAAAGAGGAAGCTGAAAGTTCTTCAAGGTAAAACAGTATTCTGGAATGAGTGTATTTTCATATTGATAGTGAAAAAAACAAAAAACTGAATGCATGATGTTTGTTGTTTTTTTGATTAAGCAGCAGGAGTTGCATAAATTTTACACGTGCTGAACTTATGGACAAATACTATGAGTATGTCGAAAGAGAGGAATCGTACGAACTGAGAACAGGAAAGGTGAGAAGCTGTCTATCAGTGGAAAAGTACTTTGAAATAGCCAGAGAGGAGGGATGGCTTGTTGACATATCAGACGATGAGCCTGAACAGAATTCCACTGATGAAGCAATGGAATCAGCGGGCGATGTGTTGGACAGGCAAGGGCTTTTAGGTTACATATATACATTTGAATATTTGACTTTGCAAATTAGTAGATTAAATAATCGTGTTTGTTAATGCAGCGAGGAGAACAACACTACTGATGCTGCTGATGTTGTACAACCTCCTGCCATGCAAGAGAAACTTGTTATATTAAACAGAATAAGTTTATTATATTAAACAAAATAAGGAATTACCAACATCATATTGCTTTTTGCAGTGTAAATTATACATAGTTTTTTGCAGCTTAAATGACTAAAATCATATCATTCTTTCATATACAATGTCAAAAGGATCAAACAAAAAGCAAGAATGACAAATCAAATCCTCATAAACCAGAATAAACAAAATGTAAACCAGAAATATTTCATTACATCAATCAAAATAAGGTGTGCAATGTTGTCCAAAACAGCTTAAAGTAAAAATAAATCGTCGACGATAATTGACTGCATCATTTCTCCAGCTTGATGTCCCTTATTATCTTGGTGGACGATAGTTGGGCACTGTCGAGTTCTTCAACTGTCTCAAGAATAGATCTTTTTGACGGTGTAAGTGCAGATTTTAACAACAGTAAAACATGAGTACAACAGTACCTCTTCATATTTAAACCTCTTCTTTATTTTGGTACGTAGCACTTCATCTGCCTTAAATCCGATTACAGAAATACTGGCCTTGTTTGGTTGAAACACTGCTCTTATAGCCAACTCCTTCTTCAGCATCACATCAAGTTCATAAGGGAATTCAAGGGGATCAAAATCTCCAGTCTAAATGATTAAAAAAATATATGTTATTTATGTGGTAATTATCTAACTTACATATTAGCCAAATGGAAAATACCTCCATCAAATCCAACTTCATCTGAAGGGCGAACTTCCCAATCAACTTTACACAATCTACATCCCAAAATACGAACTTGTATTTTAACTTTCCATCGGAGGCAAGCACTTCAAGCTTAAATCTGTACCATGCGTGATCAAAATAAGAAATTGTCAGTAATGAAGCGTTTGGTTATATGATGATAATCATTGATATGCAATAGTTAGAAGTTACCTTGGGACTGGCTCAGAACTGATGTGCTTGGAATAACACATGAATTTTCCATCCTTCAAAGTCACACTTTTGGTACATTCACTACATCCATCATAATACCATCCTGACTGCCCACATTCAAACTTCTCCAGAGTCGCAACAGTCACACATGTAGTTTCCTGAAACAGAAAGATGGGATGATGTCTCAAAAAATGGATTAGAATCTAGTCTGTGTAATTCCTCAATCTAAGACAGTCATGTATTAAAGAGCAACTTACAGTCTGCAGATATGCAATATCAGACAGACTCAACACTTCAGCTTTCCATACAAATTTGTCCAAATCAGAAAAAACAGAGGTATTTGTGGTTTCCATTTGCATGCTCGAGGATGAGAGCGTCGGCAGATCATCTTTAAGTCTGATGTACATAGATCAGAATGAAAACAGGCTGTTAGTAATCATAGGTTGCTAATTCATAACTTCATAATAAAATCACTTACTTCTCTTTAAGATTTTTAACCTCCTCAATAGACAAATCATTGATGAGCAGTTTTGTGCCGTTCCAAGCATTTGATACATTTAAAGGATAATTTCCTGAAAATTGAGATATTTATAAATGACAACACTTAAAGTTGGATATAATAATTGGATATAATAAGAAATAGTCACATAGCATACCTTGAGGTTCCTTGATCCTTGCATTCATAAGTAGGAGAACAATACTACCATCAGCCTTATGAGTCGTATAATACTCATTCAGTTGCACAGCTAATTTACCCCAAAGAGTACATTGCACATGATGTTTGCTGATTGACAGGAATTACAAAACAAACAACATGAACATGTTAGACTTTTATATTTATCAGCATCAATGTTAACAAACAAAATGAAACACCTACCTCAGATCAGTTAATGAAAACACAACTTTGCTTTTGTTGTTATCAGGAATTATCTGGGCTTGAGATATTTCAGTAACCCCACCAATTATATCTGCACAAAAGTTCACCACAGACAGTTATGTATAACGGAGAAGTCATAATACAATGCGTTCTATTATAACAGTAAAAATGTAACTCACCATATAACAAATTCGTTCTGTATTTACCCTCAATAATAGCATTTATTCCAATTAACTTGAGGTGGTTCAGAGGTATGTCAGCAAGTTGGACCTTTTTGACGGAAGTTGAACCACATAAAATCAATTTGAACTTATGATCAGTGGATTTGAAGGAGAAATCATTGCTGGAAACTTTGAAATTCTGCATTATGTAGGAACAACCAAGTTCAAGCTGTGTTTTGAATTTTGATACCAAATAAGATGGCACAATGGCTTGAATCAAATCCAACTGTGAAAATACAAACATCTTGAAATCAGTATCATATACCAGTACTGTTACAACAAAATCAGAATGGCAAAGCAGAAACGTTTAGATTGTATTATACCTTTGAATCAAACAGAATAAGCTTTAAGTGCTCTCTATTCTGAGAACTGGTAACAGACCACAGATGCTTACATCTAACAGCAACCTTCCACAAATCCTTCGAATCGTCAATGCTACTGATATACTCGATTGGGCGCGCCATCGTCACGCAGCGATTCGTAACAGCGCAGAGAGCCTTGCGTGAATGAAAACGAAAGGGACGTCTGTAGCAATGGCTTGCGTGAATGAAAACGACTGGAAGGTATTAAGCAATTGAGGTTATACATAAGTACACATTGGGGAAGGATTGAAGGAAGAGTGAAAAACTTTTGGTGTTCCATTTGAATTTGAATTCTGATTAAGAGAGGCATAATGGTTTGGCATGGGGAAGAGGAAGAGAGGCACAATGAATGGCAAGGAATAATGAATTGGTATTCCCCATGGTTGGGTTTCTCACGCTGCCTGCACAATAAATTGAATTGGTTCTTTATTTTAAAAAACAGTATAATATGTGGGATTTATTTGGAAAAAAAAATTGAAAATGTGGTGAAAAATTGTGGGAGTGCCACATCAGATTCAAATCAATGTGGTGCAAGATATTTTGGAGTTTCCAATTTTACCCCAATACAATAGACCAACAATGAATTTTTTCAGCTGTGGTGTTGTGGTAATTTTCAGGGACTATCATTTTTATAGATTTATAATAGATGTCATTTGTGAAAAATATTAAATTAATTTTGGATCTCTTATTTCAAAAACTGACATTTTTAAGATTAGAAGTTATGATTTTTAGTCTCAAAACAGATAATTTTATATTTTTTCTTTCTATGAATTGGGGCCAAAATGAACAATTTTTGGAGATAAAAATCCGAGTTGGCCAAAAATTAGAATAATGAATTGATGTTCGGTGATGCTAAATAATAACAAACAGGTTATGAATGCTAGAGAGAAGTATAGGTAAAATTTTGGAAGGATGACTATAAACTATGTCCCCAAAAATTCTGGATGCTTGAGACAGCAACCTTGGCAGGCATTTGACAAGAGTATCACAAGATAGAACTTTCGGATATTGTGCCACCATTTTGAGTCATGTGTTGATCAACTCAACAATAATTCAAATCTGTTTGTTCTGAGTTTAGAAAGCTTACACAATGTCGTTGTTTAGGTTTATGTGCTTATCCATTCCAAAAGTTGTTAAGGCAAATGTTATTAAACAGTTTCTAGATGGAAATTTGACAAATGCATTCAACAAAAATTGTATCCAAGCTTATCTTAGAGTTTTTGGATTAGTTAACACACAAATACATGTGGTAAGATGATTTGCATTGTCGAACAAGAGACGATGAAGAATAGAATGATCGAACTGGACCAACTCAGTTCGTAATGTTTCATCTAGCAAGATGTTAAGTCCAACCAGTAACAGAAACTATAGATTAGCCTAGTTTCATCTAAGAGTGTTAAAAAGAACGTTTTTTTTCATCTGTAATAAACTTTCCTAACATGCAGATATAAAGCTTTTGCAGGGCGAACAGGGAATATCCAAACATTATAATCATGAAATGGTTTATAGTAATACTAAGCATGGACACAAATTACAATCAGCAAATCAAATTTTCGTCATGCAGAAATTTCATTGATAAGATAAAACTACAATAGACCGAAAAGTAATCATTCATCTAAAAGAATTTGGTACTTGTCTGGTGTACATAGTAACAGCAAATAGAATACAACAGATCAGCCACAACATGAAAAAGGTGAAACATTCTATTGATACAAAAACAAAAACATTGTTTGAAATATCCTAGATTTGAGCCTTAGGAGGACAAATTACCACCACTTTGTTGCCACAAATTGATAATATCAGTGGCTTGATTGAGAAGAATAATCATCTGCTTTTGAGATATCCATGGCTTACTCTCTAGCAACTCCTTGAGCTCTTCCCAAGCGTCTTTCCTTGGCCAAAAGTAGTAAGGGCTTAGAGGAATGGTTCCGTGGCCAGGTACCATTTGGTCAAGTGCAATACCGATGTTCTTCTCCATCCAAATGAACTTAAGCACAAGTCTTGGTCTGACTGTTGGTTTCACAACAACTCCTAGCTTCTACATCACAACAACAACCATCGTAACAATTAAAAACACAATAAGGAAATCTTAAATGAGAGACACTAAATAACTTATTTTTCAACATTTAAAATATCAGACATAATATCCTGAAATTTCAGCACCCCTTTTAAACATTCTCAACAGAATTACAATAAAATGTGTATACAAGGAGCTATTTACAGAAAAGATTTATGTTCCCTTTTCTATTTCATATATGTTGGTTTAATTGTTTCCTTAGCTTTGCCGAGAATGAAGTATTTACATCTTGAATGAAATCCTTAAGCTAAATAAGACTGTCTTAGGCTTAGTACTGATTAGCTTCTAACTTGCCTCTCAATTGAATTGAAATGCAAAAACTAACTTCATCTTACATGAAATACTTTTGTTCAAATATCCTATTGTTACTGCAACAAGAGATTAGTTTCATATTTCATTTTCCATAATCACTTGTGGAGAAGTTTATCCAATCTGGCTTTGTAATTGAGTTAACTACGAGGAATTTGGCTCCTTCCTCTCAGGGTATGTTTGGATCAGTAGTACACGGTGGAATGAAATGGAATAGAATGAAGATAGATTTCGAAAAATATATGTTATCTATTCTCATTCCATTCAATTTCATTTCATTCCACCCTATAGTACCAATCCAAACATACTGTGCTGCTGTTCCCTCAACACTATGCACGACAGTCATTGTACAAGATTAAAGAAAGGAAGGTTTTGTTAAGCCAGCTCAGTTGATAGCTGTGCAGGGACATCAGATGCATCAGATGCAGGGGCGCGGGTTCTACATCAGAATCAATTTTGACTCATCCAAAAGTGAAACCAAACCTCCACCGCAAACTCCAACATACTAATATCCTGAAATTTCAGCACCTCTTTTATACATTCTCATTGAAAATTTACAATAAAGTGTGTATACATCAAAATACAAACACATTATCCAACACGTGCGTATCTATATCTCTAACTTACACATTCAAAATACACACAAAAATCAAAAAACACCTTTTGAACAAACTTATAATTAAGTGCTGAGAGAGTGAAAACCTGAGATTGAGGCGGAGACTGGGGAGAAGGAGAGGACTGTGGAGAAACGGCATCTTCAGCCACAACAGCAGAAGCAGTAAAACGGTTTGTTTTCATCTTGATGTAGTTGGTTTTGATGGGTCGAATCGATGGAATTGATGTGGTGGGAAGAAGAAGCATCTTTGATGGAGATGATGAAGCTAACATGTTCATTGTTAAACTCGATTCGGATTCGATTGAACGATGATTTTGAAAATCTTAAAGCTTACGAGGGTGAGAACGAACTGAACTGCACGAGGATACAACCACAATTGTCATTCTAGATAAGGAACCTGTTTTTACCTACACTCGTTTTTTTTTTTTTATTCACGGTTTTTTTATTTAAATAATAGTAGTTTGTTTCTTAAATATTATAGGTCAAAAATGTATTTTTTAGGAATATGTTTTTTGATCTAAGCTTAAATTATTAAATAGAAACCATATCCTAAAATGCTTGTTGGCTATAACTATATGTAATTGAGTTAGGGGAATTTTTCTTAGGGATCTTTAAGAAAAATCATTTTAACCTTTGAAATGATCCTTTCTCATATATTTTGTAAAGGTTAAATAAACAAGTTCAATCAAAAGTATCATCATGAAAGACTAACGAATATGTGAAATCTTACTAGTGAAGGGATACTGGATTTAAGTTATCAATTTATCAATTATTGTCGGATATGATGGGACGGCTCAGGTTGAAGTTTAATTTGAGTTTGAATGAAGAGAATTACATATTCATCTTTCGTATGCTTCCTGTTTAATTATTTTAACCCTTCTTATAAGTAGAGATTTGTTTATATAGGTATGGAGGCTCAATGTGGTATCAGATAGCAAATTATTTCTTGCATAACCACTTTTCTAACTAACTTCTAACCTTCATCCTAACATTTATAATTAACTCATTCTTGCTATAACTAATTCACACTATTACATTTCTAATAGCTTCTTAGACTCACACTAGATCAAGTGGAGATGGTTTTAAATAGTCTGCCATATATTAGTCTTGTCACACACGATGATATGTATTCTTTCATCACCACTCTTACAAACTACATCTATACGATTTCATTAATTTGAGTGATGAAGTGTTAATCTTGCACGTTCATTGTAATACCCAAATTTTGAATAGTTGATTTATTTGAATTATTTAAGTATTTGTTTGATTATTATGTACTTAATTAAATAAATTATATGCTTATATGTATTGTTTGGGAGTAACGGATTAACAAACGTGTAATAAGAATATAGACATTTTGTTTAATAATTAAAAATAACTAGAATAATAATATTTTTGATTTAATTAAAATAAATAAGAAGATAATGAAAATTAGAGTAGCAAGAGCAAATAGGGGCATTATGGGGATTAGGATAATAAGTGGGGGCATAAGGGGAGGTGTTTGTTTTGGGGTAAATAAATAATAGTTGTTATGGACTAAACCTACGCTTAGTTTGTCATCGGACAAGGCCCAACCCAACTCCATTGCGAGGAAGACCCACTACAGTGGCTCAAATTGCTATGACTGTTGGGAACGTCTCCCACACGTGCCCGTCGAGAACGCCTCCTCCACATGCTCGTTGAGGATGTCTCCTCCACGTGTCCGCCAAGGATATGTGGCCAACGTTCCTCCAAATATCATAGAGTCATTCTGCCTCTGAAAAGAACGGGTCTTCCACCCTCTGAGAATCACGGGGTAGTTGAACCAGGATAGAGACCACGAATCGGTCTCCTCTACCCACGTAGGATCCTAACAGTCTCCATTATAAGTCTGGGCATCAGGCCCATAATGGGGACCTTGGCCCAGCGTTGAGGGTTATAAATACCCTCTTTCACTAGAGGGTCAGGTATTCAATTTCACTCACTTACACTTTGTATTTGCCTTCTTTACTCTGAACCTTACTTTGGCATCTGAGTACCTTGCAGGTACACCTCCATTCACTTCAATAACCGCAAAAGTCCAAGTGTTACAGGTCATTGAAGATCCTTCTAATCCTAGTAAGATCAATGGCGCTGTCTATGAGAATCTCTTGCTTCCCCGTCTTTTTCAAACCTAAAGACCAAAGAAAACTCATCAACACCTACCGATCATCATGGTCCGCTAACACAACAACGACGATACTGTTCACCCTGCCTTCACCGACGATGGCAAACTCAACAACAACGAGATGGTTGGTCATGAGCAGGGTGACCCCCGGGATGGAGAGACCGCCTCCTCCTCGTCCCTAGAGCAACCCCTCGATGCCACTCGATACATCGATGAGCCTGGAATGTATCAGGAAATCCTTATGCCGCCCAATGTTGATCCTATCATAGTGGCCCTATTCACGACCTGCAACCAGACCGACTACCTGATCTTCCAACAGAATGACTGTATTGGAATGCTGGAAAAGGGCTAACAATCTCGCTCCCCCTTGAGAAGATACCGAGGACTCGTATCTCGTAGCCCGTCTCTGCAACGGCGAGATACCCGCTGATGTTCTCCCCCGCGAAGACATCCAAGGAATGGGTCTCAAAGCCCCTCCCTGCGACCAACTGGACACCGCCCCCAGCTGGAGAGGAAGCATCCTGCGGACATCAAGAAGCGCAATCACACTTCTCCTCATAGGGAATGACGATCCCTTAACCCTAAGAGGAACAAGGTCGGCGGGCTACTCGAGAAGCTAAAAAGTCGACTGAGAAATCAACTGCGTCATTGGGGCCCTCGGCTCGACTCCTCTTCGTCACGTTCACCAGACCAAAGTAATGAGATGACCCTGCGGTCCATCATCTCGAGCGATTATGGAGACCCAACTCCTTGTCGGGATGGAGAAACCACCACCTTTTGCGATCTATGAAGGCACGAAAGACCCCGACGGTCACATTGAGAGCTTCAATGTGATTGTCAACTACCGCAATATCGGGGGCGCTATCAAGTGCAGACTGTTCCCTACGACTCTGAGGAAAGGTGCCATGGCATGGTACAAAAGCCTTTCCCCAGAGTCGGTCACCTCTTGGAGGGATCTGAAGACTCAGTTCACCAGAAATTTCACCGTCTCTCGACGACACCCAAAGACTGAAGCCTCGCTCGAGGCAATCATCCATGGGAACAATGAACCCCTTTGAGCATACATTGAGCGGTTCAATTGTGAATTCATCCAAGTCCCTACGAATGACCGCATGAAGAGTTACCTGCTCGAGGAAGGGATGCGTCCTAGCATCAATTTCAGAAAAGCAGTAGGCATCGAGATACCCCACTCACTAGATGAACTTCTTCGTAAGGCCCAAACTTACATTCAATATAAGGAGAAAGAGGCAGGAAAAAACACCCGGGACTCGAGGAATCGGGAAAGCACCAAAGTCCCAAAGTATGACGATGTTGTGGCTCCTCAATGAGGCAGAGAGAAAAGAATATACGATAAACCTCGCGACTCTGCGAGCACATAGGCCCGGCGGAGCCACTTTACTGAGTACACTTTATTGACCGCTCCCTGCGAGCGTATCCTCGCTGAGTGTATCAACTTTGGATTCAAACAAGGTGGTGTTAGATTTTCCAATCCTACACCTTCTAAGTCAAACTTCGACAAGACCAAATACTGTCGTTTCCATAGGAGTCACGACCATGTCACTGAAGATTGCATCTACCTCAAGGATGAAATCGAAACCCTCATCAAGGAAGGATGTAACATCCCGATTTTATTTAGTATTATTTAATTATTTTATTAATTAGTATATTATATATTAATTAATGTAATTGTGTGATTTGGTGAATATTTGAATTATTTGAATATATGTGCTATTTGAATAATTGGAGTTATAAGTAAGAATAGTAAATAATAAGAATTGGGCTTTATGTCATAATAGAATGGGTAAGTGGAATTAGACCCATTAATAAAATAGGTAGTAAGAAGAGGAAAATAGAGATTAGATGATATAATTGTAAGAAGATAAAAGAAAAGAAGAGAAGGGAAGAGGAGAAAAGAGGAAAATTGAAGAGGCAACCCTAAAGACTCTACACTCAAGGTAAGGGTGAGAACATATGTTATTATAGGAGTATATGATGGATAGTAACATGTAATAGGATTAGGTAATGTGAATTTCTAGGTTTTGAATCACCCAAATTGACTTAGGGGTTTGGAAATTAGGTTTTTGAAATCTAGTTTTTATGATATAAATAGGTTTCCTATGATGTATACATGTTAGAATATGTTTATTTGATGAAAAATGAGCACTCGAACATGTCTTAATATGGATTTTCTTGTATGGACATAATGTTGTTTGCAAAAAAAATTATGGTATTCGCAGAGAGTGCTTAGCGCGGGTTAGGGTGCTTGGCGCGGATGGCTGCAAGTTGAAAAATTATTTTATGCATGAATGGGATTGTGATCTTGTATGTTATGATTTATCATGGATTTACATGTATTTTAATAATTTATTTGACTTGATTCAGATTGGTTTTAAAAGCGTTTTGATGAGAAACTTAACACTTGAATTATGTATGTAAGTGTTGGAATTTGATGATGTTTGAATATAGCATGATTTGTATCTAATTGCTAGATGTTATAATGATGTGTTCAAATTATTTATATTATGACATTATGTATATGTGATTGATTGGTGTAATACGGTGGGAGATCTGCTTTACTGGTTTTGCATTTTATTACAAATGTTGCGGTTAGCAAGAGTCACCACTGTCTTTTCTTTTATCCAACAAAGGAAAAGGCGAAAAGAACAGGAAATACCTTTTTTTAATATTTTGAGTTCGGGGAGTAGGTTATGGAAAGGGAAGGTATTAGCACCTTTTCCATCCGTAGTTATCTATGGGCTCTTAGTTGCTAGCTCACTTTTGAAAATGCTTTGTGTTCATGTGTTTTGAAAATATTCTTGAAAAGACGCCTTAGTGCGGTGAACTTTGTAATGTTTCTCCTATCATTGAGAACGTATACAAATTGCTTTGTCTTTGAAAATACTTTAGAGAGAAGTTTGTGCATGTGTGAAAAATTGTTTTATTTGTTTTTGTGAGCAAGCAACTATGAACTGTCTATCTACTCAAATTGTCTTTGTTCTTTTCCTCTTTTACTTTAGACAATGCTATCCTACTCGTTGGATATTTTGAGGGACAGACGCAGGTCATCGTACAGTCATAAAGGCAACTCGTAGGGCACTTTAGCAATTTTATTGTAAGGGACTAGATTGTTTA